GGGGGGGGTATCAAACTTGAATAAAGTATAAATGAGCACAAATCTTAACTTTGTTCTCGTTTTTGTAAGATAGACTCTAGTTTTTCGTTCTTTTTGTGTGTGTCTCCCCCTTTCCTTTTATTTGCGTTGGTCTTTCACTTTCCTTGCATGTGGCCTGAATTTCTTTTCCGAGAAATCTTAATTTCTTCTCGATTTCACTTTCTTCTATTATCTTTCTTTTTGTTTTCCCTATCATTATTGGTCCATTCTCCCTTTCCCTCTTTTGTCTTTCTTTTTATCCAGACATTGTAGGCTCTTTTTTTCTATTTTTAATTAATGGTGTCCCTTGTCATCTCTTGACATTACACTACACAATGCTTCCCGGATGCCCTCGGCTTTCTTAGAGATCCAAGACAGCCTTCCTGATGTCCCTAATTGATTTATTCCATGTTTATTCGAGAAGGCAAAGGAAACAAAATCAGTGGAATCAGAAACCCATTTCTTTTAGATGTGTACAATTTATTTTATTTTTTTTTCTGAGTAGAAGTTCATCTAGGATCTATAGATTTAGGGTAGGCTCTAATCCTACGATCCGCCAGGACAACTATGTGTTCTCGGCAAGGTGGTCCTTGGTTCCCGGCCACTAGGCTATACTATGAAACGAGAGTGATACGAGAGAGACCATCGGAAGATACGATCAAGTTGTCAAATTATGGGGGACAAATTTTAATACTAGCTAGATCTAGACTAAGCTGGTTGGGGGAAACTGGAAACCATAGAGTTACCCCCTTTGTGAACATCTACAGAGACACATATCTTAGTGTCTCTGACATCTACCAGAGACACTAAAATATATTAAATACTCTCTAACATCTATAGGGGGGAAACGAAACACAAGAAGCTCCGATCCGATATTTTGTATCACCGGTAGATCTACTTTCAAAACTTTCAGAGACAAAAGAGTTTCGTTCTGGAAAAACGTCAACAAAACCTTGGACACCAACTTGCCTTTCACTTGCGAGTGAGTGGTGAAATACGAAAGGATGAGCAATCGAAAGCAGATCGATTGCTTGATAGAAAGTGACGATGAAGATCTGTCTTTAGGCAGAGATTGGGCCAAAGTCGAAGAGAATGTGAAAAATGTAAGTTTGTTGTTGTGGAGGAAGTGTTCAGAAATTTTGTTAGTGTTTATCTTTTCACTATCACACACATGCTCATATGCAAGAAAAGACCAACGCAGGAACTCAACAGCCTCAAGGAGTGTTGGCCTACGTATACATCCAGGCAAGTCAAAAGTAGTGAAGCTAGGAAAAGTTTCAAACCTTGCTGTGACAGTGGAAGACACTCCCTTTACCTACCTTGGAAGTGTCATCGATGGTAAAGGCCACAGGCCTCTATTCTCACCCGGGGTGAGAATAGTGCAGGCGGGTCTTGTGGCTATTCTCACCCGGTGCGCGTGTCAACAAATTTTGCGTTCACCCTAAACCACAGAATTCTACACTGTGATAAGAGAAAAATTGTAGAATTCTGTGCTGTGAACAAACGTTCCATTACAACTGTACTTGTAGCCTACTAGTCCTACTAAAAGCGTACAATTTTGTCTGTGGGCAGGGGAGAGAGTGAGAGAGAGAACAAAACAAAATGGCGACCCGCGTAGTTCGGCTCGATTCGAAAAGTTAAATAGCCGTAGCATCTTTGTAGACAACCAAATTAATTTACTTTTGTGTTTTAACATCATTTTTTAACTTTGTTTTGGTCAATTTGATCGTCCACACCGATAGACAGTATTCAGAAAGAGACAGAGAGAGAGAGAAGAGGGGAGGAGTAGATCTTGCGAGAACTTCCGGGCGGGTGAGAATAGCCACTTTCGATGGTAAAGGTGGAACCGAGGCAGATGTTAAAGCAAGAACCGCCAAGGCAAGGTCAGCCTTCAAGCAATTATCAAAAGTCTGGAAAGCAAGCAACATCTCACTGCGCACCAAGATTCGACTTTTTAACTCCAACGTCAAGTCTGTGCTCCTCTTCGGCTGCGAAACTTGGAAGACAACGAAGACAATACTGAATAAAGTCCAGACTTTCATCAACAGATGTATGAGGAGTATTCTAAGAATTAAGTGGCAGGATAGAATAAGAAATGAAAAGCTGTGGGAAAGGACAGGACAAAAGGATATAGAAGTAGAAATAGGACTAAGAAAGTGGCGATGGATGGGACACACCTTAAGAAAAGCCAGAATAGTGAAGGGCTCACAGGCTTGAGCCTCCCTCCCGACCCCCCAGTGCAAGCGGATAACTAGAGAATGACTACTGAACGCCATTGGCCAATATTTATGGTAACGGCTATCTTGTTTGACCTCGCAAGGGGGATGCCCGCCACGTCATCTGATCGTGATTTTATAATCTAGGCCTTAATCTAGGCTAGTGATGATTTTGTGTAGTGCGCGGTTTGCACTGATTAATAGTTTCGAAACTCCTTCCCCTTATGAGTTCTAATTCATTTGCAGCTCAGCGTCCTATTGAGTCCAATCTTGTCATCATCATCCGGTGCCTTGCCGACTGGCGTGGGCGATCATGGACCTCCACTTCCATCTGTCTTTCGAAGCAGCAATGGTGTCTGTTGTTCTTGCTGCTCCCAGCCATGTTGTCATCTTGTCCAGTATCTTTTCCCTCTGTCTGCCTCTACCTCTCTTTCCATCAAACTTTCCTGTTGTTACAATGTTCTCTAATGCTTCTTTCCGCATTGTTGTAATCTTGTAAGTGTGCTTAATTTCCTGTGCTTACAAAACTTAAAAAGAACCGATCCGGATCAAAATGGTCGATCATTTGCACTGCGTCGTTGAACTTTGTTTGAACTTGCTTTCGTAGCCTATAATTGACCCAGATATAAGCCTTCTCTTAGTCTTCTTTTTCTTCTCAATTTACGTAGTGTACAGCATCAAAATCATTCTGGGCAGAAGAAGGGTGCTGCACTATCACAGACAACCGAACCGAACAGTTCTGCAAGTTGCAAAGAAAATACAGTCGAACCTGCCTTAACGGAAACCTGTATAAAAAGGAAACCTGTCTTAACAGAATCTCCCTGCCCCCTCCTTGATATATTCCTTTTTAATTACCTGTATAAAACGGAAACCTGTCCAACGCAGAAACAGAAAAAAAAAAATCCGCTCCCTTCCGAAGGTTTCACCTGTCGAAGACGGAAAATTCTTTACCTGCTCTGCCCTGATTTTAAACAAAACTCGCAAGTTTGATTCTACTTGCTCTAAACTTTTTAACGCCATGGCCGTGCCGCTGGGCGAGGAAGGGGAGTAGGGGTGCAATTTGGGGGTAGATGTTACCTCATCATGTGAGCCCTTAACGATGCAGATGGTCAGTGTAGTGTGGGTGTAAAATCTCGCGACTGCCCATGAGAGTGCTAGAGTACCGAGTCGGAGCCACTATGGAGACTTTCCTGGGTAGCCAGAAGCCAGAGGTGTGGAATTAGATTGACCAATGCCTGCCGCCCTGATCGTTGTTGCAATGATGGCAGTGAGGGGTGGCATTGGTGGGTGGGGCTGAGGGTGGAAGCAAAGGAGATGTTCAAACGTTTCTGTTTTTAATAGAGGTCAAACAGTGGTTCTATGAAAGGCAAACACTGGTGGTAATTGGATAAGTAAGACTGACGCATGTCATTATATATCAGACAGGATAACAATTGAGAGGTGTGAAGTGTTGACCACTGCTTGCCGATAGCACAAGCGATCCTCGATCCCACCAGCTGGGCCTTTCACCCCTCACACCTCCCCTCGCCAAACCTCCATCTCTCCCTAAATTCCCCTGTCTAAGACGCAATTTTTTTCTGGCTCCCTTGCAATTCCGTCTTACACAGGTTCGACTGTAGATCTAATCTGAGTCAGCAGGCTGCGGCTGCTGTCGTGCGGTCGTGTTGCCGCCACGAATGATAACGAAGTGGGAATCCATCAATGACATCAAACAAGATGGCTGTTACTATAAATATCGGCCAATAGCGTTTAGTTATCGTTCTCTAATTATCCGTTTGTCCCCCCAACTCTATCCCAAAGCAAATGAAAATCACAAAATAAGCAGTTGAAACTGTTATGATCGCACGCAATGAACACAGAGTGATCAACTTGGCGGCTTCCTTGTTTATAAATCCCATCACTGTTGTCACCGTTTACAAAGGAACTTAGTAGCCAATCAAATGACAAAATGTCTTTAGGGCTCAGCATAGGACGAGCCTGTAGTGACACAGTTGCCTATACATCCATTGGACCTTTGTTAGGTACGTAACTACACGGCCAAATCCAGCTCATAGACGTATATGTTTGGAGTGCTGTGTGTACGTGTTTGTGTGTGTACCAATGAGTTTTAACAATGAGTTATTATTACATCAAACCACTTTTGAGGTAACTTTTTCATCAGATCAGATGAAAATTAATTAGAGAAATTTGAAGGTGAAACGGCTTAGTCTCCACCATCTAGGAATTTAACATAGAACAAAGAGATGAAAGACAAAGGTGACTCTTCTCATTTGAATTGTTTTCAAAATACTGTCGCTTGCTGTGAGTATAAAAAGACCATCACTGTTTTGTTCTTTGCTTGCTATTTGGTGGTAAAGAAGTGGAAACAACCTAAACCCCACCTAATTTTGGTTCACCCACCTCCACTGCAGGTATTGTATCATAGCTTCATTCAAACTCAAACCATGCATTTTTCTATGTCATCATTTTTATCAGATCAGTTTTACGAATTCCAACTCTCTACCATTACTTTTTTTTTATTAGTCTTTGAGATGTTGTTGTTTTTGCATTGTTGTTGTATATATTTTGCATTACGTTCGCAGTAATACTTTACATGTGGATTGCATGGACTCTTGCATTTCTTGTTCTTTCAAAGTTTCAGCTTAGGAAGTCTACTCTCTTTGTGTTAGTACAGTTGTGTCCATTTAAGAGCTACCAAGATAAAAGCAATCTCCACCTCACAGCAACTTAAGCTTGTACTTGTGTAATGAAATTTTCCTCTATACAAATATCCCCCTTTAACATAAACTTTTTCCTCTTTGCAGCAACCATCATTTCTCTAAATTGTCTGACGAATATTTTTGGGGGTAAAAAGCAGTGTAAAACTTGACAGTATCCTATAATTTCAGTGTGTGTGCATCCCTCTGCTCTTATTTATCTCCTCACTACATATGCCCAGGCTAAGAAGGCACTAAAGTTGAGTACAGGAACTCAATTCACACCCTACATTCTGAGTCTTTCACCAAGATTAAAGAGCCATGCATGTTCTTTCAAGAGTTTCCCTAATGGAGAAAAAATCTCAGCCACTGTGCATATTCATTACTATTTATTGCTGATGCTGAAACGCTACCTATATTCTCACTTTCTGACATATGAAAAGTTTGGACTTCTAATTCCGACACCTTTTGACCTTGGATCATATAAAATAAAGTTTCAAAATGTGGTCTAACGTTTTAGTTTCAATACAAAGAATCAATGATTTTCTTGAGTTTGACATCATGTATTAACAGTTTACAGACTACCGTTTGTATAATAATTATAATCTGTACTTGTACCTGTACATGTATAATTTTCGCTTTTTTTTTTCTGTAGAATGGTTTTCGCATGGGACTAGAAGCAAGTCAGGAAGACAAGCCAGATGCTCAATGCGGTTTCAACTCTGGGTTCAGAGAAGCTTTGCAGATGGCTCTTGCAGCAGGGAAATTGGATGGAGAAATCTGGTATATGGATTGGATTTTGGTTTTTGTGCTACACTGCTGTCATTTTTAAAAGTACATTATTTACAATTTTACCGGAGAGCCAAAAAACTGAATGTTGTTACCCAGGAAACAAACTCTTTGCAGTACAATTTTGATAATAACTTCCTATAAATATCTTTAAAGCATCTTTTCTTGGTATCAACTAGGCCAGGGCAAGATCGACGGCAAAAAGACTCGAGGCCTCGATTCCAAAACTGAAAAAGAGTCGAGGAATCGACTCCGATTTTCGAGTTTG